AACATTTAAAAACCGAAATGTACAAAACCCCAAAAGCAGTTTAAAATCTCCCATCAAATCCCATTATAATGAAATCTCAATCTTAAAGGTCCATTGTGTAACTTTTCTGGTGGAGTGCCTGTTGAACGCTTTTCTCCATGGAGATGTTATCGTTTTTTTCTGGGATGTTTCACAGTATGGCATTAAACCTTTTGTATCTCCACGGAAACCAACGGGTCAGATCTGTGGAGAGGCGACACTGCTCAAGTCAAAATGCCTGTTTTTCTATTTTTTTTTAGCTCTAAAACCACGTGTAATTGAATAAATGTAAAGTAAAGCTGTTTTAAATAAGTGTAGTGCCTTTAATAAGACGATATCATGCAAAATGGACTTTTTGGTGCTTTCTACCATGTTTGTTATAATGTTCCCTCATCAAAAACATGCCCTAAGAGGTTTCATGTGTATAGAGAAATACAATAAATATCACCAGAGAACCAGATTAACTATAACCCTCAATTATACGAAGTGTCTGTGTATGTTTATTTATATACTAATGAATAGTAATGTGTACCAAAAGATTTAAGTAGGTATTTTTTCCTGCACCGTAAATAGTTCTGCCGTCTTGTGTCCTGTTCAAAATGTTAATAGGATTAGGCAAAATAAGTGTTAAAACTTCAGCCTAAACCCCTTCGGTCTGTAGAATAACTTTAGTGACATGCATAATTTCTGTATTAAATCATTGAAATATGGTTAATGATTATGTAAATTGACCAAAGAAAAAGTAAACTAACTATGTCATCCATGCATGTTTGAGTAATCTTGTGATCTCTCCTGGGCCTCCTTGGAACCCTCCTAACAGCATCATTTTGTCTCATGCTCAGCCCAAAATCCTGTGCCACCCATGCTCACACTCGTTTTCTCTATAAATATACAAAAGCATGACACAAAACGATACACTACAACTTCACAAACCTGGTGCAATTGGTAGTAGTAAGTTCATTAGCAACACACACACCGAATGCGTAGGGATGATGCTTTGAAGAGGGCGCCTAGGGAGAGGGTCTCAGAGTGTCAAAAACCAAACAGAACCTAATTAAATATATTAACACATTCTTTTCAGCGAATATAACATTTTCAAAACAATAAAAGGTAACATGGTGATCTAAATATGCTTATGTGTTAGCAGTTAATACACCATTACTGCCCGACAAAGGCAGAATGCCGTAACATCATGCTTGGTCAAAAATTAGTTCATGTCATTTTGGGGGTATTTGAGACCTCCTTTATTATGTGAATAAATATTGTGAAAAATATTGAGCTCAAAATTGACCTTTGACCCTTATTTGGCAGTTCCTGTACTCTGTTTTTGTATCATGAGCCAAAAATAAGGAGTCGTGCAAAGGCAAAAGGCAGTAACTTTTTGTTGTTTTAATTGTGATTTAGTTAAGAAATATATTTTATTTTAAAATCCAACCTCTTGCCTCCTTTTTGTTGCGGCCTTGGCACAGGGTCTTAACACATTAAAATAAATAAACCTTTGTAGTCAAATATATTTAAATGTAGTTAATATGATTAACTGAGAGTCAGGAGCAGGACCACGCCTCAGCCGCCCTCTCCTCACCAGCGAACCACAACTCACCTCGACCATGCCTCTAATTTTTCAGAAGCCTATATGTAGCAGCCTTTCCCATCATCCCAGTGTGTCTTGGCTAACTCGACCCCACCCTCCCATCCCCTATTTTGTCTTTCAGTCATAAGACCCCTACAGGGGGGTCCCGTTCTGGCTGGGCCAATAGCAGATTGAGATGGAGCCCCCACCCATAGCCTCAACCCAGCCATCTCTGCCCCGCTTCGTACATTATCAATAAACTTCTTTGCACTATGTTGTTGTTGGCATGGTCCAAGCTAGTGAAATTATCTTTAATGTGAAAGTATTTTGTGTATTTATTCATACTGTATATACTATACTGCAATGTCACTTGTCTGTCAAACTGTTCAACTGTGTAAGTGCAAGATCCTGATCAGCACTAAACAGGAAATGCAAAGTTTTTCCATATCATTTCAAACAAACACCATGATGACTAGGCCTTGGTGAGGTTTTCTTATAATGGATGGAAGTCTGTCAGTCACTGCCTTTTGCTTTTGCATGACTCCTTATTTTTGGCTCATGATACAAAGGCAGAGAACAGGAACTGACATTATAGCAACTAGTTATCAAATTTTGCGAGCCCTATCTAATATACTTTTGTCTGGACAAAACAGAAACTTTGAAGTCATTTTTCTCAGTTTCACACTCTGGAGATTTAAGGTCTTTTGTCTTTGTAGGGCAGCATATATTGTTGAAGTAGTCATTGCTAAACCTTCCTTTACTGCCCCTTTGCATCAGTTTAAATCAAAAATCACCCAGAGCAGTGTATTGTATTCATGATGACAAGCAAACCTCTCCTTTGAATGTAGAGTATGTGACTGTTAGCAGCAGGAAAGTCATCTGGAGTGAGACTCTTCGAATACAAAACTCAGCTTTACTTCATCAAACATCCAGAGAAGTTATAAATCACAACACATCCTTCAACAAATACAAAATAGAAAAAAAAACTTTTGCAGATCTATCATTTCTATACAGTATAAATTTCAGTCAGTAAGTTTGCACAGACTAAGCAACTCAGCTGTCAATTCAATGTCAATTTGTACCACAGGTTAATTTAGGGGCAAAATATTTTTAATTGAATACAAAATTAAGACAAAACTTAAAGGTGCACCGCGTAACATTTTCTAGTGGTGCTTGTTGCCATGGAGATATTACTGTATGAATTGTATGAAATAAACTTAAGGGTTAGGTTAAGGCTCAGATCTATGGAGAATTCATGTTATTGAGCATTTGTAATTGAGCAAATGCAAGGAAGATATGTTTAACGCCCTACTGCGGAACATTCCAGGCAAAGCAATAATGCCACGGTGACAAATAGCGGACCCTCCACCTTAGAAGTTACACACTGCACCTTTAACATCATCTTTCTAAAGTCTAAATGATCAAAGTTATCAAATAAAACTAAAACTAATATTCAGGGACATTACAAAAATTAGTTCCAAAAGTTCTTTAAATAACATTCGTAAAATCTGTTGCATATTTACACCTCAGCAGAAACAACGGGGAAAAATATCTCTAGTAGGAATTTTTACTAATAAATCCTGTGAAACAAATAAAATATGAGCCAACTTCTGGGAGTGTAACTTGGATCCTAATGACTGCCTTCGTCTGGTGCTCTCTCTCTCTCTCTGCGTGTTACTGGCCCTTTAAAAAAAACAGTGGGTGAGAATTTCCCAGGGGAAGGAAGTCATTATGCTTTGCTCTAATGAGAGGAAACGGAAATAAAACTTTACAAACTCCACAAGTTATTTGAAGGATGCGAAAAGGACTGCCCTGAGAAGTGGAGAGTCAAATCTAAACTATCTCTCAAAATCCCATGTTTATTTATTATTCACATTGATACTTCGCAGAGACGTCACCAGGGATCTTCAGTTACCATGGCGACGCGATGCACACATACATTAGCAGTTTTTAGTCTGGAAACTCAAGAAAATATACAAAAGTGACATAAACAGCACCTTTTTAGGAGCCTGTGATCAGTACGAATGTTCATGGTTCTGAATCCGTGTATCATTCGTTCACTCGTTTTTTCAAAATAAAACCAAAAATAAGAAAACAAAACAAAAAAACAAACAAAAACACAACTATTTTCTTCATTATTTGTCTCCTAAACCAAAATGAAAACGTTTCTGTGACTTAAACTGCAATGCTGGAGTTTTGGGCCGCATATAAACTGAACCAGGACTAAAACAGGACTGGTTATTGGTTTTATTTTGAAAAATGAATGAACGAATAATACACGGATTGTCCTGTTTAGGTGTTTGATTTTCAATAAGGTGAGAGTGACAAACTGGAAAACTTTTGGCTACTGCTGCTAGTTTGTGCCTGTAATGTTTTTTTTGTTATTTGAGACTTGTTTAGCAGCACAAAATCACTTCCAACTAAATCAGTTCTTTTTGGTCAGATTTTGTTGAATCAAAGCTCAGATGAAAGTGTAACAAAGCCTCAGACAGAGCAGAGCCTACAGTTAGCATCACATCCCCAGGAAATGCAAAGTATTAATTTATAAATTTCACTTGTGATTAACGGCGAAGTACACTACCAGTCAAAAGTTTGGACACACCTTCTCATTAAATCCTTTTTTGTTTTTGTTTACCACTTTCAATATTGCAGCTTCATACAGAAAACATCAAATATATGAAGCAAGATACAGCATCTATTAATCAAAATCAACTTTCCCCTCACCATTTACCCACTTGAAGTTGTATTTGAATGATTTGTGGATGTTTGTGTGACCTTTAATCACTGAAAAAACAGATCTGATTGGATGTCCGTGTTTGACCCTGGCTCCAGGCGCAGCGGAGGGTGTGGTGACCGGACTGATCTCCCTTTGTATAAAAAATACTGAGCGATATCATTCTGGATTTGTCAGGCGACTGCATTCCACATGTGTTCACTCACAGATTTGACGATTTCAGTGAGAATCTACAGTGTTATATAGCAGGGATGGGCAATTATTTTTCCATGGGGCCACATGAGAAACAGAAAATACTGTGGAGCGCCGGGCCAAAATGCTCAATTCTGCATAATATTAATTGTATTTCTTTATAAAAAGCAGTAAATAGCATTGTTTTGACGAGCTGGTAAGACTACACTGGAAAAAACTATATCTAGGTAAGTTAAAATGGCTTAAAGAACATTTTACTTTATTTGAGTCGATTCAACTTGACAAGTAAAATCCTTTCTTCTTCTTAGTTTAAGCGTAGCAAGATGTATTTTCATATTTTAAGTACAAAAAGTATTTGTGTCAAGTGAAATTTACTCAAATCATGATCAAACTTTCTTAATTCAAGTCATCTCAGCTTGACTAGATTTTGTTTTTTGCAGTGTGATAAGAGTTTGTTATGACTAAGCAATAAAAAAGTGAGGCTGCCTTAAAAAAATAATTAAAAAAACACCTCTGAATTAAAAGCAATGCAGCTTTAGTCCAGGCATGAGGTAAAATTATAAAATATGTTTATTTTGTATTTCCAAATGAGCTTAAACGGGCTGGTTAGAGTCAAAAAAAAAAAAAAAGGGCAGTATGTGGCCCCGGAGCTGAACAATGCCCAGGTCTGTGGTATATAGCCATGAAAATAAACATTGCCTGAAAAAGTGTGTCCTAAACACAGACTGTATAAAAGTGGACTAAAGGAGTGTGTCTGGCTCCAGTCAAATGAAGCTCATGAGGCAAGCAGTTACAAGAGAGAATGTGGAGTCGAGTTCCATATTAGGAATAGAAATGTATAAACAAACTAAATAATAATGAACATCAGGATCATGTAGCCTGATTCATCAACCGGTTTCACTTTGTGGAAACCATCTGTCCGTTTATTTAACCAATCGCTGCTATTGGTAGTGACATATGTAATGCGCCCCTAACAGAGCTAACTGGTATATTAAGCTTTTCCCAAATCCCGTAGGAAGAAGGGCAATAACATCTTTCCCCTTGTTAAAATTCACAAAAAAATCTCTTTGTTCCGACTTTAAATCCTCGATCTCGGGAATCGTTGCCAACACAGAATGTATGGCTTTGTCTACATCCATCTCGATCACTTTGTTTACTGTTGCGCTGCACCACAAACGGACCCAGTCATGGCTTCACAGCTCTTCGCTGATTGAAGGGTGCAAGGTCTACAAATTCGATTCCTGACCTAGTCACTGGAGAGAAATGAAATGGAGCGGAGGCACTAGGTGGCGCCAGCCTGGCTAAGGATCATGTGGAGTGGGTTAACTTTTTAAGATGAAAATTACAAGGCTCAGTGCAGCAGTTACTGAGAGAAGGGTGAATTTTTTTTTTTTTATGTGTAAAGTCAATTGGAGCCGGAGTCGATGGATCGGAAAGCGCCTCCATCTTCACTTCCTATACTCGAGCAGGTTAGCTATGTCCATTTATATTTAAGGTCTATGGTCCAAACTTTTGCCTGGTAGTGCAGCTTTACTTATTCTTCTTTATAAATTCTTTCACTTGTGATTGATGGTTATGTATGTCTGTATTCCAGTCTTAACAGTCAAATGGTTTGTTGTAGTGGTTCTTGTAGTTTTCCTCCATTTCCTCCATCCACACAGTTTTCCAGTCCCAAGCAGGGTCAAAGTCGCCAAAGGAGTCGCCCTCTAGGTGATAGGAGGGGTACAGCACGCTGAGAGGGGAGGCGGGCGGGGAGAAATCTGAAAAAGTAAAATGGTCAAATGTAAGTTTCAAATGGATTTACATGGATTTTTAAAGCAGCCTGACTAAATGTATATGAAATAGTTTAACAATAAAACTAGTGGAATTAAAAACATCACAAAAGAGTCACATTTAATTTAAAAGGCTCATATTATGCCATTTTCTGCTCTATGTTATAATGTTGTTTCCGCATCACAAACATACCTGGAGTTGTGTTTTGTTTCATTCACACGTTTAACACACAAATCCTGCATATTTAGGCTAAGTTCTTCTTCTCAAATAGAAAGAAAGTGCTCCACTGTGTTTTGAAACTCCATACACCTTCACTAGAATCATTTGGATCATTTCAGCCCTGGTGGTGGACGTTTTAAGACGATAAAAGTTCAAACATACAGAATATCTCAGTCTATCTCCATTATTAACAACACCCAGAACTGCTTTACAAGAAAAACAAATTTGGAAAGCGCTTTGATCAACTTGTCTGTCACGAAAACTATCCTACAAAAACAAAAAAAATGCCAATTTAAATTATGTTTTTTATCCTGACAGCAATTTTCAAAGCCCTTCCAAAGTGTCTGAGAAGTCGTTTATAATTTATGATCGGGCAAGACAGTCAATTAACAGCGGTGCATAAAACAAGATCTGGTATCTTTTAGCTTCGAGCAGACGAAGGCTACTTTTTTTCACTTCTTACCAATGTCAAAGTGAGTTTAATTTGATTTATAGTCCAGAGGCAGAAGAGGAGGACATTGTAGCCTAATATTTACAGACAGTATGAAATGAATGGATGTCTTAAGGTGGACTGAGAGCGTCTCGAGTGAGTGATGAGGTGACAGTGACAAAGGAAAAGCGTGAGTCATACAGAACCACTTCATTTTCCTGAAAGGTCTTAAGTAATTGTGCAGCGCCGCCTTAAAAACTCTGAAGGATTTTGTGCTAAAACAGTTTCTATGTTAAATACACACCATAAATCTAATTGTTATTTGATTTACAGAGTAATCAGATTATGAACAAATGTTACAGAACAGTTACATCTGATGTGAGCAGTCTGATTTATTTCTGTTGATACTTTGCAGTGACATCATGCTGCGCAGTGTTGGGAAGGTTACGTTTAAAATGTATTCCCCTACAGATTACAGATTACATACCCCAAAATGTAGTTTGTAACATAATCCATTAAATTACTTAAAGTGAGTAACGTAATCTGAATACTTTGGATTACTTGATTTGCTGTAGAGAAGCAAAGACTAGGATATTTTCACAGAAGATGTTTTGTCTGCTAAAAGAAAATAAAAAAGCCCAGACTTTACTTAACCATATTAAAAATATTATTGATAGAAGAGGAGGAGACATGGTCCACACAGCATGATTTAGTCCTGGTAAATCCTGTTTTAGTCCTGTTTTAGTCCTGGTTTAGTCCTGGTTTAGTCCTGGTTTAGTCCTGGTTTAGTCCTGGTTTAGTTCTGGTGTAGACCTGGTGTAGACCTGGTTTTGATTTGGTTTAGATTTGGTTTAGACCTGGTTTAGTCCTGGTTTAGACCTGGTTTAGACCTGGTTTAGACCTGGTTTAGACCTGGTTTTAGTCCTGGTTTAGTCCTGGTTTTAGTCCTTTTTAGTCCTGGTTTTATTCCTGGTTTAACCCAGAATGTTAAAACGGGAAAATACCGCAAAGTGTAAAAAAAAAAAAAAATTGATTTAACAGTTGATTTATGGATGTGATACTAAAAGTCTTTGTTAAACCATTTTTTGTGCAAAGTTCATATGAAACATACACATTTTAATCATCAAAACAGTGAAAATGTCAAATGTGTTGCAAAAACGAGTTTCCTTCCTTTAAACAAGCAAAAAAACTGTAGCGCTGAAAACAAAATAATTTAATAAAATTTACCAAAAAATACTCGTGGTGATACTTTGTTACAGCAGCACCTGATATCGATACTGTATCATCATTAGGGGTCTGTAAAAATATCATAATATCGGTATATTGTATCATTTAATGTGATAATACAGTATCGGTATTGTGTTCTGCTGTATTGATATATCACCAAAAGTATTTTTTGGTGTATTTACAGTGCTACAGTTGCTTGTTTAGAGAAAGGAAACTCGTTTATTCAACACATTTGACATTTTCACTGTTTTGATGATTAAAATATTTGTGTTTCATTAGAATTTTGCACAAAAAGTGGTTTAACAAACACTTTTAGTATCACAGCTATCATTTAGCCATTATTTTTATTGAACCAAATTGAATCCATTTGAAATATATCGTACTGAACTGAAAGTGCACTGTATTAAGATATTGTATCGTATCATGCCCTATGTTTCAAAGTATGTATCTCATCGTCAACTTCTTAATGATACTCAGCCCTAATCATCACATTAAACGATACGATATATCAATATTTTATTATTTTTGCACACCTCTACTTATGACTGTAATTTTATTTGAGAGGGACTTCTTTAACAGCACAAATTAGCTCACCTGTTATAGATCAGTTTTTTATGGTCAAACTGTTACTTGAGTTAGATCATAATAAAAGAGTTTTTTTTTTTTTAAATACAAAGCTTCAGAGAGAGCAGTGCCTCCAGTTAGCTTCAAATCACAGGGAATATTAATGACATCTGCTGCAAAGTATTAATTTGTTCACACCCACGCAGGTTTTGACAAGGAAAGGTGTACAAAAAAGTGTGTGCCACTGTGTCAATATTAAAGATTGAAAGAGTTATTTAATATGAATTGTATTTTGTCTTCCAAATACAACAGTTACTCTAAAAATCTATTGATTAACAGCCACATATTTGAAAATCAGATTTCTCTTGTGCAGGTAAACACAAAAATCAGATCTAATTATTGGGTTATTCTAGTTATCAGATTGTAGTAGGACTAAGGTAAACAGGTCAAAAGAGAGAAACTTGAATGTCTTCTATTGTACAGGAGGTGAATACACAGTACAGTTGTATGGATGTGCAGCGTGACGAGAGCATGGGCAGAGAGCACCATCTAGTGGCCGTATGCAACAGCACCACTCCCACAAATGCAACTGTACATTTCTAGTTGTATGAAAAGCATTATAATCTAGCAGTCACCAAATGGTTGAAAATCATATTGATCAGTGCTTATTGGTTAAAGAAGGAAAAGAAATATACCAAAATGAACTTCACTAAATCCGTAATAAACATTAATGCGTATTGATGTGTACAACTACATCTTGAAACTGTTAAAAAAGTCCCTCTCAAACAACATTTAATTAGTCACTCTGTCTTTTTTGTTGAAAATCAAATGAGTAAATGTGACCATGAAATCTTGTATTGATCACACACTCCTGAAAATGTTTAGTTTAAATCCATTTAGTATTTTTTTCTTGAGTTTTCAGACAATCTTAAAACTTATTTGACAGTGTTTCCTTATGTGTGCATTGTGTCTCCAAGGTAACTGATGAACATTCCTCCAATACACAATAGGGGTGTGCAAAAATACTGAAATATCGATATTGTATCATTTAATGTGATTATACAGTATTGATATCATGGGCTGCTGTATCGATATATCACCAAGAGTATTTTTTGGTATATTTTATTTAAATTATTTTGTTACAGCGCTACAGTTTTGTTGCTTGTTCAGAGGAAGGAAACTCATTTATGCAACACATTTGGCATTTTTATTGCTTTGATGATTAAAATGTTTGTGTTTCATATGAACTTTGCAGAAGAAGTGATTTAACGAAGACTTTTAGTATCACAGCCATGAATTAGCCTTTATTTTTATTGAATCGATTTGAAATATAGCATATCGAATCGAAAGTGCGCTGTATCGAGATATGTATCGTATTGTGGCCTGTGTATCAAAGTATGTATTGTATCAGCAAATTCTGAATGATGCCCCCAGGATACCTGAGCCATGTATCATATTGAACCGTGATGGACCCTATGGGCTTTTAAAAAATTATTCATCTAAAACACTTTTCTCCTCCTCACCTGATAGCGATGCTCCACTCATGCTCTCCGCGGCGGCCGCCACAGCGAGCAGGCGGGCGAAGTGTGCGCTGTCTGTGGTGTAGCAGCTGTCCACAGAGCTGATCAGACTGGTGCGAGCGCTGGTCAGGTCCCGGCCCATGTCCCTGTCCATCATGGAGCTCCAGGTGTTCCACAGAGAGCTGTCCCATTCACTGTAGCAGGAGGAGGGAGAGCTCTGCACCCGCGAGCGTCTCAAGCCAACAGGGGGCGCCTCCGAGTGACCCAGGGTGGAGTACAGGTCCGGCTGAGAGGAGATGGTGCTGCTGAGGAAGCCCAGGCTGTGGGGGAGGGGCTGGGGGAGGGAGGGTCTCTGCTCTGGGAGGAGGCTGAGGAGAGGAGGAGGATGTTTGGGTATTAATAAAAAAAATAATCAACTAATGAACTCCTACCTGTCCAATAATAATGAATATTTGGAATTTGGCAACAACACTGTGTGAGTTTCTATTAAAGCACACTTATTCTGCAAAATCAACTTTTCAGAGCTTTTAACCATGTTATAGCTGTTTCCCTTTCTTATTTATCCTCTCAAAGTTGTATTTGGAGTGATTTGTGTATGTTGCCATAATTTCAAAACGCCATATTGTTTACGCCACTACCCATACATACCCACTGCTCTGCAATTTTATAACACAGTCAGTGAACGTGCGTCTTTTATTAAATTGTTTTAGATGAATATTGTGATTTAATATGTGCAAATTATAACATAATGATCCACGGGTGATTATTACTATATAGAGAACACAAGTACAATGGGCCTTCTTTAAAGGTGGTCTATTGTGAAAATGAAAATATAAGTAAAATCTAGAAACATTATTTTCATAATTCAGCATCAGTGATAATTTTTTGAGACATTATAGCTGGAAAAGTTCGGGGTACGTGATCTGACTAAACTAAACTTAGTAGGTTTACATTGTCTTAAATATGCACTATGTCACTTTTCTGGAGTAGGATCCACCACCAGCGTGTCTCCATGAAAATGTTATTGCGTTACTTGTCCCATAATGTTCCACAGTTCAGCCAGTGATATCACCAGGTCGAGGGCAAATGAATACCTTCCTTCCATATGATGTGTTGTTTTTACCTGCACCTCTCGGGTTTGGGGCTGATCTCCAGGTACTGCGTGGCCTCCTGCGTTGTCCTGGTGACGGGGTCTGGGTGGGGGGCGGTGCAGTACGAGGCGGTGGACTGGCGGCTGTAGTTGGAGACGTTGGTGTTTGGTTTTATGAGGCCGCGGGTCACAGGAGGAGTGTTCACAGACTGAAGCGAGCCCATGTCTCCTGTGAGCTTCGTGGAGTGACTGGAGCTGGAACACAGAGGCAATGTTTGTTATTACACTCTTATTTAAACAAATGTCAAACTACGGCTGCAACCTACAACTATTTTAGTGGTTGATTAGTTTACCAAGATCAAGATGAAGACTTTAAAGGACCCATATCACACAATTTTTCTGATCTACTGCACATCTAAGGCCATTTCTGAAGAGGAACAGGGTGAGAGTGATGTCACCTAATCTGAACCAAATTGAACACCTTTGGGGAATTCTGAAGAGACAAGTTGAGTATCACTCTCCATCCAACATCCAGTCTCCGAAAGAGGTCATTGCTGAATAATGGAAAAAGACTGATTTTGCCAGATGTTGCCAACTTGTTCATTCGATGCCTAGAAGACTTGAAGCCGTCATTAAAAATAATGGAGGCCAAACAAAGTACTAGATGTAGTAGTTTTTGTTGTAGGGTGTAATCATTTTTGCACCATCCTAATTTCCCTAAAACTGAACATTATGTAATCTAAGTTATATTATTAACCTTACTTTTTTGTAAGGCTGTGCAACTAATCGAATTTTGATTGAAATTTCGATTTGTGTGTCAAACGATCTCCAAACTCATATAATCGAGTTGAAAGGATAAAGCTTAACAAAGTTTATTTTGGGATTTTTTTTTTTATATAAAATAAGTATATTTATTTTATTTTTTAAATATAGAGATTGTAGAACAGCTGAATATATAGTTTATTTTGGATACATTTATGTTTTTCTATGCCTTATTTCATGTTCAAATGTACAGTATATTTTATTCATTTTATGTTTTATACATCGCAAAACTGCACCAAGGTACATAGTATTTGTAGCCTATATTTATTTTCAACTTGAAAGTTTTGCATAAATTATCAATAACAAAGTGTATTTTTGAGAGTGAGAAATGCTCAGTAAATGAAATAATCAAGATACTAATGTTTTCCATAATCGAGCAGCCCTAGTTTTTTGTACTAAGTTCTGCAGATGCTGTATTGTACTTAGTCTGTGCACATTTTGCAAATATTTTTTGTGTTCAGTATTTTTATTTTTATTTTTTTTTATGTAAAGTCAATGGGAGTCAGAATCTAGTATTTTTTGTAGGCAGAATAATAAAGGATTACTTAAACATGTCAATGAAACAAAACACAACTCCATGTTTGTTTTTGAGGAGGTAACAGCGTTCTAACACAGATTAAAGCTCACAAGTGTCAATTCTGTGTAATATAGGACCTTTGAAAGTCGGAAAGAAGCAAAAAAAGAATCATGAAAAATTAAGATAGAATCAATATGAGGAAAAACAAACATGATTCATTTTTTGCCAATATCTTCGAGTCCTAACCCACAGAAAGATAGTTTTAGGGGATTTTCTATTCATATTAAAGTCCCAGTCTTTTGAAAATGCAGCACTGTACATTGTTGGGGAATGAGCGGATGGGGCAGATGTTGATTTGGTGCTTAGCCTTGCCTCTCTAACCTTACATCCTGATGGCACACACACAGCATCCTGTTGAACTGTCTGTTTAAAACATGAAACAATGACATTCAGTTCCCAAAGGAAGGATATTTACTTTATGTAAGGAACAGGAAATTATAATGTCTACTTCAAAAACAGCCTCTGACCAGGTGGTGACTGCCCTACATCTGTGTAATATTAATTTAAACAAAGATTATAATGTGTAAATTGAAATCCCAACTCCTGTATGATTAGAATAAATAAAAAAATATAAATAAAAAGCATTCTAAGGAAGCAGTAGGAAGCAAAAAGTTGAAGAGAAAGTACGTATTTCAATCAGCCAACCCAAGAAATAAATCTGCTTTCCGATCACACTCTAAAATGAAATAAAAATGTCACTGGCTTGTCTCCAGGGAAATGTTATTGCTTTGCCTGGAAATAATCCACAGTACGGTAAAAAAACAAAACAAATCTATCTCTACAGAAATCAACAGTTCGTGCCACCCATAAAAAATACATGCAAGATACCGTAGATAGTTTAATGCCATACTGTGGGACAAAACAATCTCCATGGAAACAGGCAGCCACCAAAAAGTTACACAATTAAACGTACCCTTCGTCTGAGGAGAGGCTGCGGGTCTCTGTTGTGTTCTCGATGGGCAGAGGAGGAGGAGGCGGCAGCATGTCCACCAGGTGCAGCGAAGCAGTGTAATGTAACAGGCGAGGGCAAGGGGGCGCTCTCACTGGGTCTGAGTGTTCACCTGAACATCAACAACAAGATATTGAAGGAGTAGTGTGTAGCATGCACTTTTACAGGTACTACAAGTACAATCACTACTGAACCTGATAACCTGCATATAAAGGAAACACACAAGTTTTTGTTTTTCATTCTCGGTATCTGAACAGGGCAAGTCTCATGTGAATTCCAGAATTCTGTCACTGAGCTGAAGCAGCTGCACTAGCACAGATTCATGATTGACTGAAGGAGCTGGGGTTTAGTTAGTGATGGTTCAGATCAGAGAAAGTCTTTATAGCTTTAAACCAACTGGATTTCAGCATCAAATCTGGCAACCAAAATGAGAGAGGAGACTCATTCTGCTTTCTGGTCAGGCCAAGGAGAGACTTAGCCAGGCTGGCGCCACCTAGTGCATCCGCTCAATTTAATTTCTCTCCAGCGACTAGATCAGGAATCAGAATACACTAGACGGTTTGCAAGAACCCCCGAAGTTGTAGACTTCCAATCAGACCGGCCAATCAGTGAAGAGCTGAACCAGCCCGAGTTGCGACAGCAGACGGCATACACTATCCTCCTTTGGACTTCCTTTGTCAAATACAAACTTAGCATTTTTTATTGCCCCTTTAATTTGCAAGTTCATCTTGCAGAGACAACACTGAGAGTTTCGGTGCATTACATAAGTCACGACCAAACAGCAGCGATTGGTTAAATTACAAAAGCACCTGCCTATCGTCAACCGAACGAATCCTAAAGCTGTGAGGGCAGACGGTTTCCACAAAGTGAAAACAGCTGATGAATCAGGAGAGACCAGCCCCTTTACAGTAAGAATACACGTTAATTAAGGTACTTCTAAGAAATACAAACACATGTAATTGCACCTTTAAACTGAAAAAGTACAAGTACAAACTATTTACAAGAACAGGGAAGCATACAGAAAGGGAAAACTAATGTAATGCACTAAACTGTATAATATCTATTTATTATTACTGTAATAAACCAATTTATAAAGCCAATATTGCCATTATTAGTTACATAATACAAGTGTAAAACTGTCCTTACTGTGCTTGGCTGCTGGCCCTTGGCTCTGTCTCTGTTTGTAGGCGTCAGAGGAACAGATTTCAGCCTTAGAGGAGAGCAGAGGGACACTGTTCACTGCCTGCAGGTCTGTGAGAAACAGCACAAACAAATGGAAATATTTATTTTCTTAATAATTCAAATTTACATATTATTTATTCAGGATATTTTGGTGTAAGCCATGTGTAGTTATGAAAACAGTGGTACAAATCCAATGAAAATAAAATGACAATCATACACATTGGTTTGTCATAAAATCTTTTAATTTATTATTCATAATATTGCCCTTAAACACACACAAAAAATGCTTATGTTAAAGAGAAGTCAGGCTATTCAGGATTTTTTTTTAATACTTTTGAACATTTAAGATCCTGACAGGTATATTTTGGGTTGGAACTTTCCATTTCTATTTTCCAAAACAAAAACATGCACAATAGGTAAAATCCACCAGTTAAAGCAGATCTGTTCTCCCTGCTCCTAATGTTAAGGTGAAGCTTTTTTGTCACCAGATTGAAAATTTGTCCTCTGCATTTGACCCTTTCTTTAATGTCGCAGGGACAGTCAGACACTCATCTCCAGATCTTGAGCCAGTCTTGGTCAGGACTTAGCTGGGGTTTGGGTCAAATGGGTCAAATGCAGAGGATAGATTTCTTTACAGGTGGCAATAAATTGCACCTTACTTAGCACCCTCGGCTGGAAGCAGTTAAGGGCCGTTTCACTGAGGCTTAAAAATTCAAGATGTGTCTTAAATGGAAAACAACAGATGGGGCCTATTTACAATGTGTGTGGACTTGCCCAAAAATCTCCAAAATCTGGTTGTGTAAAACTAAATTATTATTTTTGGCATGAAAATGTGAGCTATTTAACTGGATAAATGAGAAACGCCAACTGTCACCCAGTGGTATGAAGACATTTTTGGTGGTATAAAGACATTTTTAGAGTTTTACCCAAGTTTTACCCAAGGAAAAAACTCAAAAAAATCAAAAGGTTATGATATTTTTATGCAACTCTGGCTTAAAAATTTTACTACTAGCAAAGTATCAAAATATAAGTAATTATCAGTGTGACCCAAGACTCTAGGTATGTTTTTAGTTTAGTTTAGTTAAGTTACCCTGTTATAACATGCTTAAAAACTTTAAAATTGCACCTTGCTTGCTGTGGTTGACCCCCATCCTCGGCTGTGGGCGTATACCCTGTTTCCATGGTAACGCCTCACGGGTACAGATCGGCGAGCCCTTGGAGACGGGCTGGGTGAAGATCTTGATCGTCTCCGTGCCCTGGTCGCTGTGGTGATTGTGGGGCATTTTGGGACATTTTCCGGGGCTGTTAAAGGTTTTTAAATTTCTGCCGCTCAAATCCACGTAAAAAGTTCCGTAAACGCCACAGCTGTCCGTTACTATGGGAACAGAGTCGGCGCTGGTGGAGTCTTTCGAGGAGGAGGCAGGGAGACCTAAAAAAGAAATAAAACAGAAAAGTCCAGGTCAGCAAACATCATTTTAAAAAGGCACTGTACCTGATATTTACCATCTTAAAAAACAGAAGTAGTTCATTTGAAACAGTATCCTAATTATTAATGTTGTAGTCAAGAAAGACCGTTCTAATCGAGACCAAGAACTATCAGAGACCACAGGATCCCAAGACCAGGACAAGACCAAGACCTCAGAGAGTCGAGACCGAGACAAGACCAAGACATTTAAAAGGTCGAAACTGAGACACGACCGAGACCACAGCCCCTCGAGACCAAACCAAGACCATCTTTGTCATTTCCTACATTTATTTCTATTTCAGTACATATATACACATATATGTTTTTTTTTATAAATCTATCTCCATTTGATCTAGTTAATGTTCATTTAGGCTTAAAATAGGCCAAGCAAACTGTGCTGTACTTAAATGCCCCTTTTCGTGACATTTACAGTTACATTATCTTACTAATTTTGCACTGATATTTAGCAGCCTCTGCACATTCACCGGTAGCCAGGCTGGTGCCACCTAGTGCCTCCATTCAATTTCATTTCTTTCCAGCGACTAGGTCAGGAATCAGAACACCCCGGAAGTGCAAGTTCGGACACCAGCCAATCAGCGAAGAGTGATATATTCTGTGTTGCCAACGATTCCCGAGATCAAGGATTTAAAGCTGGAATAAAGAGAATGTTTGGTGAATTTAATCAAGGGGAAAGATGTTATTGCCCTTCTTCCTACGGGATTTGGGAAAAGCTTAATATACCAGTTAGCCCCGTTAGTGGTACATTACATACGTCATGACGAAATAGCAGCAATTGGTTAAATGATAAAAAGTACCCACCTACTGTCGAGCAAACAAAATCTAAGGCTGCGAGGTCAGACAGTTTATACGAAGTAAAATCGGCTGATGAATCAGACTAATTCACCAGCCATAATGAAATACGAAATACGAGTGTCAGACCTTGAGTCGGAGACAAGATCAAGGCCAAGCAACATCAAGACCGAGACAAGATCGAGTGCAAATGCGTTTGAGTTCAAGACGAGAACAAGACCAAGAAAAAAGTGGTCTCGAGGCTGGTCTCAAGTACTACGACACTACTAATTATACATTGTGATGAGTTTCTAAGGCTATTTCCCAACATTCAGAGGGCTGAGACAAGTTTTTTGATCACAGTAATTACAACTGCAACTGCAACTTTATGTATAACGCACATTAAAAACCAACATGAACTGCTACAGAAAATAACTATTTAAAACAATAAAAACATCAGAATCTAAATGAAAAACAAATCTGGTAAAATGTCAACATCTCAAACTGTGTCAAAGTGCATTTTTAAAGAAGAGATTTAAAAAGAAGTACAGATGAGGCCTGTTTTCTTTGCCCAGAAGGAGGGTCTTAGGACAGGGGATCATTTGCTTGTTTTTCTATGAATGTTGGTTTAGTCTGTTGGACTTTCTAACTTTCTTTTGGTTAAATCATTGATCTTGTTTAGCCCTAGGAGCAGACAGTTGTTGTGATTTTAGGCTTTACAAAAACAAACTGAACTGAAAACTGACATTAAACTCAAAACTCTTTGTTAAAATTCAGCTTTACTCACTGGCACTTTTGAGTTTTGGGTTCTTCTGGCTCTGGGCCCACAGGTCTTGGTATTCATTAAAGTGTCCCTGTCTCCATCCTCCTGCGATCCACGGAGAGTCTGGGGCTGCCATTCTGAACAAAACAACAACAAAATATTAAAATAAAAATATAAATTTAAATATTTATAACTGTATAACAAATTTACCAGTTTAAAATTCAGTTTCGGTTTTATTTACCTGTGTTTTATTATTAAATCTTCGCCAGCTAGTCTATGTAAACCTGTGAGGAAAAAAACAAACAACAATAATTTGCATTTAACAAACCAGAAATGATAAAGAATTACATGTGGATATATATATAAAAAAAAATGTTATACTGGAGATATAATGAACAAATAGAATAAAGACTCTATTGTCTATTATGAAAAATTAAAAAAAAATACTGAAATGTCTAGTGTAATCCAACTTGCAAACATTTCTACACGTTTGTGGTTAACTTTATCTCTATTCTTATTTTGTGGTAGAACAACCTTAACCAGGCAATTTAGTACATTTCTGTTTATTTTTAGTACATATCTGATTGTCTAAATATTATTATAAAGATAATACAAAAACACAACAATAACATAAATCAAGGTATTAACTTCCTGTCAGTATTATGAACCTGCCTTTGCGTTTGCCGTGCATAGGTATGAGCTGGCCCGTCCTGCTGTGTCGTCTGTACAGGCACACAGCTGCAAGCATGAGGATACACCACAAGAGGGCGCCAATGCTGCCGATCACCACAGGGTCACGGAGCAGAGCGAGGACTGAACGAGCTTCTTTTGTGTTCTTTTCCTCATTTTCAGCAGAACGTCCAACAGGGGGGTCTAAAGACAAATGGAAAGTAAATATGAAGGGTATAGAAAGGCTGACAAAATGTTCACTTAGAAGTTAGCATGGAAATTAAGTTCTGTTCACAGAAACATCATGAAAATATTAGGACTAAGCAAAGACTATTCTTGGAACTAAACCTGGACTAGAACAGTACTAAACCAGGTCTACATTAAGACTAAACTGAGTTCAAACCCAAGTCAAACAAGGATTAGTGTGAATGTACCATTAGCTGCAGTCTAGAAAATAAAACATTTTTAAATAATTATAGAAATGTTGAGTATGCCACTTATTTTTAGAAAACAACCTCAAAGTTGCAATAGAGAATTCTTGCAGTTTAAGATATGAAATGTTCTTGTGGTCTATCAGATAAAATGCAAATATACTGTTATGATTGTTTCTCAAACTTTGGTACTGTGGCGGGGGCCAGAGTCCTGCACCAGGTCAGATGCACTATGCACCTTGTTCGGTACCAGGTCGGTACTATTTGCGAGTACCCAACAGTTTGCATTGGGTACCCACAAATAGTTGCTGAAACTGGCAGGTTTTAATGTTCTGGAAGTTTACGGGCAGGTATGCAGGCGGGTAGTGATTATACACAGGCAGGTCAGGTGAATTAAATGAAAGACGAACGGGAGAAAAATACCTGACATGCATCCAGGACGTCCGTTGCCCTGGAAACAAATGCCATTTCCCATCTTTTCCTGGAATGATGGACCAGGCTGAGAGTGACTTTAGTGTATTTATTGCATAAAACCCATCAGCGGAAGTGATCAGCTTGGCAGCTGCGCTCCTGGTTTACTCCTGGTTTAGACCTGGTTAAGTCCTGGCGATCAGCTCTACAGTTATGGCGTGTATATATTTATAATCCGCTAATGACACGGCATAGGTTCAGTCCTGGTTTAGTCCTGGTTTAGTCCTGGACTATTGGGCCGTCAGACTAATGGGCATGGGCGGGTAACGGGTGGAATGTTAAGGATAGGGGCAGGTGCAGATTTAACTCTGATATAATCACAGGTTAACAGGCAGGCGTGATGCTGTACTGCGTGGGTGCGGTCGGGTGCGGGTCTTCAAAAATGGGCCCATGCAGGACTCTGGCGGGGCCCTCTGCAGCTTGGTTACTTGTTTTTTACTTTGTTTATCATTATTTAGAACTATTTTATCTGTAGTTTAGTCATAAATGAGCAGCTTAATTACTGTGTCTGAGTAAAGTTGTACACATTTGGGATAGTTGACTCACTGATGACAAAGCCCTGGGGGTCACTGAGCACGCCAACCCCCGCCCCGTTCACCGCGGCGATGCTGACCCAGTACTTGGTCCCAGCTCTGAGGCCTGAGATCTGCAGTTGGTGTCGGCTGCTGTCCACGGTCCAGTTCTGGTACTGCTGCTGCTCTGAGTCCACACACCAAACCTACAACAGGAAAGAGCTTACAAACATGCTTCAACAAACAGAGGGGATTTCACAATCAGGATGTAAAGTAAAAGTAAGAAATTAAATAAGGAAGTAAAAAATAATCCCAATCATGTTGGTTGTTGTAAAGCCAAACATCATTGCACTGGACAATGCTTTTTCACATTAAAAACCATAAACAGTCTATACTAAAAACAAACACAATATCTTGGCAAATTAATTTATTATACAATTTATTTATTAATTTGTCCAGAGACACAAACTTTTGCCTATTAATCTTCATTAATAGAAAAACTCAGGGAAACTTTATGGTTGTCCTGCATTAAATGTTTGGCAAAGACTGAGGCACTGAATTAATCTCTTGTCTTTCTTCTTGTTTTTAATGTTTAGATAAACCTAACAGAGTCCTGCAAGGGTCCATTTTTGGAGACCCACACCCGCACAGTACAGCACCACATCCAACCGTAAATCCGTGATTATATATTATATATATTATACAGTTAAACCCACAGCCACCCAGACCCATTAACATTCCACCCGTTACCCGCTTGTGCCCGTGATAAATCACACACAAATTAAAAGCTTTCTAACTGAAGCACCCATCAGAATATGAACTGAAAAGTTACAACTTCAAGACGCAGCTCAACTGAGGAGAAGAAACCTGATCAAGATGCCGGACTTTTGTGCCACACATGCCACGGACTGAACCAGGACTAATCCAGGACTAATCCAGGACTGAACCAGGAGGACTAAACTAGGACTGAACTATGACTAAAACCGGACTAAAACAGGACTCACTGTCGGGACGGCCTCGGAGGTGCGCCCGCGTAGACTGTCGAGTGACCGCAGGCAAAAGGGCAGGCGCAGAGCTCTGTGTCTCACGGAGGTAAGTGCAGCTGTCGCGTGATCGCGCTTTGCGGACACCCTGCTCCGCGGGCTCAGGGTTCTCAGTCCTGGTTTAGAGCTCGTTTAGATTGGGTTTACTCCTGGTTTAGTCCTGACCCACCCGTGTCTAATTACTACCCGCCAGAACGTTAAAACCCGCCCGTTTCAGCAACTATTTGCCCGTACCCGTCACTGTTTATTTGTTTGTGTACAGCACTTTGGTTGACTGTGTGGCTTTAAAGTGCTCTAGAAATAAAGCTGAATTGAATAAATTGGTTTGCAAGTAAAAGTAGGTAAACAAGGTAAAAGTTTCACCTGATAACCCTGTATGATTCCATTGTGTGTGTCGTGTGGCGGGGCCGTCCAGCTCAGACTGACTGTGTTATTCTGCTCATGGTTCACAGTGAGAGACACGTCCAACGGAGACGCACTGGGCACTGTCACAAAAAAGAAACACATGACCAGTGTAATGATGCATATTAAATTATCAGCTTATGTTTGATTAAACATTTATCAGTTTATCGCTATGATATCCATCTGGAGTTTCTGATTACTCAACCAATTTAAGAAAAAAGAATATTTAAGAAAATCCTTTATTTATTCATTTATAATTCATTCATAACTGTATTTAGTTATTTCTCACAGGAGGGGAAAATTACTGCTACTTTTCAATTTGCTCACAAGGAAAAAATATACCTTATACCTTGAAACAAACTATAAATACTGTATTATTGTTATAGCTGAAGCCGGACCTGTCTCTGGGACTCTGAGGTGGCGTGTGTTGCTCTCTCTCCCGTACAGGTTGTTCCCAAACGGTCGCACTTTAAACTCATATTTGAATCCTCTTTTCAGTGGTCCGATCTGAGCCTGGAACCCGGGCATCAGGACCTTCTTGGCCGCCCAATCAGAGGAGGCGGGCAGAAGAGAGCGATAGAGAACCTCAAACCCGTCCAAGAAGTGAGGCTGAGAGGAGAAGGACTGCAACTGAGGGAGAAAAAAACATAAAAATATGATACAGACAGGGCTGAAACCAACTATTATTTTAGTTTAATTAGTGATTATTGTTGCCATTAGTCGACTAGTCAAGCCATTATTTCTATTGTAAGTTGAGACTTAAAGGGCCCATATTTTGTTATTTTATTATCTATGTTATAAGGTTGTTTCCTCATCAAAAATATACTTGGGATGTAATGATATCCAAATCTCTCAGATATGCATATGCAATCTATCACCATATGCATCTCACGGTATGATATCTATTGCGATATTTTGGAGAGGCTATTATAATTGTAGATGGACACTTTTTTTGCTTTTAAAATACCTTGACAAGATTTTGGTGTGAATTATTTCTGTCATAATCCAAAAAATTTAAGTAAAAAACCATATTTCTTCATGTTGTTTGCACTGAAATGAATCATGGGATATGTAGTTCTCTTTGTTTATCAGCTCTTACTACTATAAAACCATGCATTTAAGCAAAGGAGCTTATAATTCGATATATTGTGACAGCTCTCAATTTTATTGTGAGACTTTTGACAATACGATATCACAATACTTTGGTTGTTACATCCTGCTTTGTGTTGCATTTTTTTGTATGAAAAGCACTCTATAAATAAAGTTTGATTGATTAATCCCTACTTAGAGAATATAATGTGGTAATACAGGAAGCGCTCCACTGTGTTTTTAAACTCCATACACCTTCACTAGAATCATTTAGATAAGTTCAACCCTTGCAAAGATAAATAAGGTAGCTGTTAACTTGAAAACTACATGACGTAGTAGCAAACTTTTAACATGGCTTAAAGCTCACAAAGAGTCAATTTTGTATAATATAGGACTTTTCAAAACTGAATGTATGAATGTTGTGTTATGGTTAGAGCTCTCACCCTCCATTGCACGAGGGACTTGTTGGATCCAGCGGCCAGAATGGACACACTCTCCAGGATGACGCGCAGAGACGACAGCTCCTTATGGAAGTCCTTCAGTGTGGAGTTTGTGGGCTCTGGTGCCAAATAACCTTCATGGGAGAACAAAAATAATAAATTCAACATCAAAGAGGCACTAAGTAAGTCTTCTTGTGGAGTTTCAGCCATCTGTTTGTCTAAATGGAGGTTTGTATTGATATTTATATTGACATCAGCAGCAAAGTATCAAAATAAAACAACATCAAACACAGAACCATAGAAAAGGTGGTTGGGTTCTACTTCAGAGCACTGTTTGATAATTTAATGAGAAATTCAACTACATTTTAAAGAGTTGAAGTCAAATACCTTGTACAGTGAGCTGTGCACTGGCAGTGACCACCCCAGCGTCGTTGACAGCGGTGCAGGTGTACCTCCCTGCGTCCTGGGCCGTCACGTAGTGGATCTGAAGGCTCTGTTCAGGGTTCACCAAGTATCTGTGGAAAAAAAAAAAGAGACATCTGTAAATTGGTGGTTCTGATCTGGTAAAATGCAATAATGTCATTCAAGAGTCTGTTTTCTCTATTAATTATATTACATTTTTAAAATAAATATTGAGAAAAGACACACATAAGTTAAACCTGATCATTTCTTTTAGGGTTCTTTTACACTTCTCATGGTTTAAGCCTTGTGTAGTCCAGGATTAGTTGCAGGTTTAGTCCTAGTTTAGTCACAATCTTGATGAAGTGTGAACCCATCTTTAAGAATTAGATTCTGAACACTATTTTACAGCAAAAGTTTGCAACGAAATATTAACAATACTATTTTATTTACTAACATCTCCGTTACATATTGTAGATGTATTGAAAGTTCAATACATCTACAGTTTGTTTTTTTTTGCAAAATTAGGATGTTAAGTTTATCGTCTAGAATTTGAAATTACAGTATAAAGAGCTGAGTAAAAAGAAACTGAGCAGAAATAACTAGTCTAATCTTCCAAACAACAGTATAAAGTCATATTTCTGTATTTTTCTAGTCAATATTATGGTCCCCAACCTCAACCTCAAAGCACACAGGCACATTTTATCACAATCCTGATGCATTGTTAAAATAAAAGCTACATAAAAACAGCCACATAATGAACATAATGGCCCAGACAGAGTACCTTCCATTGGGCAGAGGCCCCTGGTCCCTGCTCCACATAACGACAGGTGCAGGGTCTCCTTTGGCCTGACAGGTGAAGTGGGCCGACTCTCCCATCCTCACAGAGACGTTCTGAGGCCTCTGCAGCAGCACTGGCTTCTCTACAACAAAACACAGAACACTACTTTATTTATGGGTGTATTTGTCAGGGACCACGCACATCAGTGTAGGGCTGCAACAAACAAGTATTTCATTATAAAACAGTCAGATTTTTTTAAAATTAGTGATCAGAGAAAGATTTTGATCAGTGAAGATTTTGTAAAGACATTTTTATCATCAAACTTTTATTATAGACTCTTGGTCCAGAGTTAAAAAAGCCACACAACAAACAAACAAACAAACCAAATAATAGTTGGAATATGTGTGTAAAGATTTTCTAGGGATATAATAACTGAAATATCATGAAAGTTTTCACAATAATATCGTGGACCATCACAATATATCAAATTACAAGTCTCTTTGCTTAAATTAAGCGTTTGGTGCAGCTATAGCCAAAACAAAAGACAGAGGGAACTACATAGACCATGATCCTTTGCTCCATTTCAGTGTAGACTACAAGAAGAAATAACAGTTCTAAGCACTTTTAAGTCTTAGTTCTTTGGATTAAGTCTTGTCAAGGCATTTTAAGAGGAAAAAATAGCATAGTAACAGTTTTGTTAGCTCCACAAAATATCGCAATAAATATAGTAGTAATAATACTGTAATTATACTGTAAGATGTATATCGAGAAAATATCGTACCGAGAGATTTGGATATCGTTACATCTCTAATCGTGAGCCTCACCACCATATCGTGAGCTTTCCCACGATATCGCAATAAATATCGTAACCTGAAGTTCATACCATGATGATACTGTATCGTGAGACTTGGATATCGTTACACCCCTACTATTTTCTGATCTATAATGTTTCCTCATCAAAAACACACCCCATGTTTTCTTTCGTTTCATTCACAAATGTTTAAAACACAAATCCTGCATATTTAGGCTTTTTCGCTTAAACAGAAAACTCACTCCACCGTCTGATGTCATGTGGTAATCCAGGAAGTGCTTCACTATGTTTTTAAACCTATACTGCATTAATATTTGCCCCTGAATTGCCCATCTGTTAACTTGAAAATTACAGGTTCATGACATCACAAGGTGGAACAGAGCATTTTGAGCTTAACCTAATAAGAAAAGATCACGCAGACATGTTGTAATGAACAGAAGCCACAGTTATAGTAGTTCAGTTTGTTTTTACTATGGACCATGAGTCTGCAATAAAAACATTATTTATTTATTGTCAAACTTTAGTCTTACCAAGCACAGTGAGGCGGGCGGCCCTGCTCTCTCTCACTCCCACTGTGTTACTGGCCACGCACACGTACGCCCCCGAGTGGCTCCTGTCTGCAGGGGCGATGATGAGCTTTCCACTCAGCTCCTGCACACGAGCAAAGACCATCAACACTGAATCAAACACCAACAGATTACTAAACACATACAAATAACTACTTTCACTCATGGTTGGACAGAGCATCACAGAATATGAATGCTTAATTTAACCAGGACAGCCTTTTGAGGGACTAATTAATCAAAGTTTAATCAGATACATTAAATTGCCTTTAGTTCTTAATTGTCAATTACAGCATGGACTTTATAACTGAGAGGACTACAGCCAGAAATCTGTCAGTAAAAGCTCATGGTTTGGAGCAGAGTATTCAGGTATTTCCAAAAAAAAGCATAATTAAAAAATCGAAAACGTAAATAATCTGAAAGTATGGGGGCAAGAAATGTTAATGTTCAAATGACTTAAAGTTGTTGAACAATTAACGGTGCACTATGCAACTTTTCTGGGAAAGGGGGCTGCCCAATGTTTGTCTCTATGGAGATGTTATTGCTTTGTTTAGAAAGTTCCAGTATGCTATTAAATTTATCTTTCTTTACGAGGATAATTAGTTAATGCCAACAGACTGAGTTACAGATCAGATTTGTGGACAGAGGACCCCATTCACAATAAGAATGCATGTTTTTCAATGTTTTTTTTTTTTGAGTAATAAAAACACCTGTAATTGAATAAATGCAAGATAGATAAGTTTATTGTCATACTGTGGAACATTTCAGGCCAAACTATAACATCGGACCTTACCAGAAAGTTGCACAGTGCACTTTTAAAGCTTTTGTGTCTTGAATGCTCATCGAACAAGAGTATTTTTATTTCAAAATAATATCACTAAGGTAGATGTGAATAGTATGGTGTGAGAAAACTGCTCTAAAGTTATTCAGCTAAACGTAACCGAGTAAATGTAAGTCAAAACTATCCAACCCTGAGGAATTTTTGACCAAAAAACTGAAACAATCCACTCTTTTAGCTCTTGTTCTTACAGTGTAGTGCTGGTCGGTCTTGTTGATAGGCAGACCGTCTCTCCTCCAGTACACATTGGGCTCGGGGTGACCCTGAGGAGGGCCACAGTTCAGAACAGCCACCTCTCCCTCCGCCACCACCACGTCACTGGGCTGCACGCTGAACTCCTCCTGCAACGCTGGAACAGAGATTCATATTAGAGTGGATGTGACCAAACTCTGGATGAAATAGCAAACAAGTGACAATACGATTTTGTTCTCCTTGTTCACCTGTAGCATTGTTCAGAGCTTTACTAAAAAAAGTAATGTCACTAAAACTCACAAATTTCTAGTTTCTTAAAGGTCATATATTATTGGCTCGTCAGTTTTAAGCCACGTTAGACTGTTTTTAACTCAACAAAAACATACACTACCAGTCAAAAGTTTTATAACACCCCAATTTTTCATTTTTTTACTGTTTATTGTTTACTGTTGACCAAAATGTTTTCTAAACTTTTGATTCATGAAAGTGTCCACCTTTGGCAGATATAACAGCTGAACACACTCGTTCATTTTACAACAAAAATATTCTTCAGAAAGTTCTTCCCAAGTCTGTTGCAGAAGTTTCCACAAATGTGTGACACTTGTAGGTTTCTTGGCTTTCACTCTTCTGTCCAGTTCATCCCAAAACCAGCTCGATGGGGTTTAAGGCTGGAGACTGTGCTGGCCACCATGTTTTCCAGCTCACCATCTTGTTCCTTTTTCCTGAGCTTGGACTTGTGTTTTGTTATCTTTATTTTTAACCTCTGTTTGTTCAGTTCTTACCTTTGTATCATTTCAAGCTCTTCATTGGACTTGCACGACTTGAATTGCAATAAACAACTGGGAAAGATTAGGGTGTTCTAAAACTTTTGACCGGTAGTGTACCTACAGTTGTGTTTCGTTTCATTCACACATGTTTGAGTAATCCTTTATTATTAGTCTGTCTACATCTCCAAATATCAAAATGCTCTGTTCCACCTTGTGATGTTATGAAGCTTTTATTCAGTAGAGATCAGCAATTCCAGGTCTGAAATCATCCAAATGATTCTAGTGAATGTGCATAGGGTTTAAAAACACAATGGAGCACTTCCTGTATAATCACATGACATCACAAGGTGGAACAGAGTGTTGTGTGATTGAAACAAAACAGAATTCCAGGTATGTTTGTGATGAGGAAACAGAATTATAACATAAGACCAGATCAGAATAAGACCAACAAGTAAGAACGTGCCTGAAGTACTAAAACCGTTTGGTGCCTTGAATTTGTGTGAGTATACTCCAAGCCCATGTCCATGGCTCTAGGCCCTGTGTGCTCAGACTGACTGGGGGTCTGACAGATCAACAGTGAGCGTCTGTGGTCAATTAACACCAGAGTTAGACCTCCTCCTGTTCATAAACACTGGGACTGCAGCCTCTGTAAACACCTCCTGTAGAGCTCTCCATGTCAATATCAACTGATTCTTTCATTGTTTGTTTTTTTCACCTGAGAAAAAGATAAACAAAAAAAATGCAGTAACTAGAAAACATAATACCTTTACTTTGAGGTTGAGGTTTAGAGATTTTAAATTTAATAAAATGTCTTATTTTAGTCATAATTTAGTCCTGTTTTGATCACAGTATAGTTTTTACATATTGATTTGAGCAAAGTTTGAAAAGTAAACAAAGATATTTACATTTGCGACAGTGGATTTCAATAACATCACTGTAATGTAGAGTTCAGGGTAGAATGCCTAAAAGCGACTATTATTGACAAAATGTATTTTCACAGCAGTAACAGTGCAACAAGTGAAAAATTATGCAATGCGGTCTTTCCGCCTTGTAAAAAGTCTGATCTCATTAAAACTCAGAATGTGATGTGTGCGTGAGTGCTGGTGGTGGCCGATGGTGCAGATTGGTAGCCTCATTTATGCCAGTTTGCCTCAGGGCAGCTGTGACTATTGACTACTTGGGGTGAAATGGTACATGTATGTATGCCGAACCGTTTCGGTACGGGATGTTCGGTTTGGTGCGGGGCAGTGGTCGAGTGAATTTGCGCAATTTGTGTGTGTTTACATTCCACCACTACATGTGCAGCTCCACATAGACGGCTCAGCTCTTTAATATTCAAGAGGGAACTCGTCTGTGACTGGAGTGGCAGTGTTTCCTGCAGCACTTTATAGTTAGGGCGGCCGCCTTGAAAACAATTGCTCCCTGACCTAACTACATCCCTCCAAACAATTCTCACAAAACTACAGTTGTCTCGCCCCGGTCCTCAATTTCGCCTTTCACCAGCATGGAATCTACGAATCTCTGAGTGTCATGAAAGGCAGTGGATTATTATTATTATTAGAAGAACATTAAAATGGAAACAAATCAGCAGCAGCGGCAGAGCTGCTCGGGTCATTATACATTTATCACACTTTACTGTCAGAGTACTCTGGAATAAACACTAAATTTCGTATTAAACTGAAAATTCCATGTGTGACGACAGAATCCTGTATTAACGTCTGTGGGGTTTTAATTGCTAACATACAACATATAAAATTGTTGTTTGTTTTGAAAATGCTATATTTACCAAAAACAAATAAAAAGTAGATTTTGCATAATAAAACATTTGAACAAATATTTTTATCATATCACACAGCCCTATTCTGCAGTATACCATAGATATAAAAACAAAAAGCAGCAACTCTACTACCCCAGCATCAAACTCACCTGCTATATACAGCGATGCATTTCTGCTGATGGCTTTCCCCACACTGTTGGTAGCCACACACGTGTAGACCCCCTCGTGAGTCAGACCCCTCTTCACACTGAGGAAGAAGATGCTGCCCTCGGACAGGATGATGGGCTGGAGGTGATTGTCCCCCAGCTCCGAGTGCACAGGGATCCCGTCATGGAGCCACTCTATGCTGGGTTTGGGGTTCCCGTCTGCCCGGCAGGAGAGAGTGGCAGGGCTACCCAGTCGGACCACCAGGTCTGAGGGGTGGTGCACGATACGGGGTGGGCTCTCCTCCGCTCGCACTCTAAAGCCTAAAGGAGACACACGGGTAATGGTGTTGTTAGAAAAGAATGATTCTACGGAAATATAAAAAGTTAAAACCATACTTCAAAACATTCTCCATGGAGATAGACATGTTTTGTGCAATACTGTGGAGTATTACTACTAAAGCAGCGGTTTTCAATAGGTGAGGCCCCTGAGCCACTGGGGAGGCACTACACACATGCAAAGAAAAAATAACGGTCCACATCTGTACACATCTGCAGCAGCACTGATATCAGTAACTGTGCGTGCATGTACTAGCTGTAAAATTATGTCACCATTCTGACAGCCTACTCATTGGAACGCCACCTTTTTGCCTTGTATATGCGGCTTGGATTGCTCCTCCCCCCGTATGCCATGTCTTCTCACGGACCATGTCTTCTCACGTACGCTTAATCAGGACTAAAACCAGGTCTAAACCAGGTCTAAACCAGGACTAAAGCAGGACTAAACCAGGACTAAACCAGGACTAAAACCAGGTCTAAACAAGGTCTAAACCAGACTAAAATCAGGACTAAAACAAGGTCTAAATCAGGATTTAACTAGGACTAAACCATACCATGCGGAGGGTCTAAACCAGGTCTAAACCAGGAAACAAGCAGGTGAAGACCCTCCTCTAGGCCAAACAGTTTAAGAGTCAAGTTTGTGGAGTCACGAGCCTGCTTAATGTTTAGAGCAGTGGGCATTGTTAATTGCTAAGAGATGAAGCCATTTAAATAAGGCTAAAAACTAAAGTTGCTTGTTCAAATGAGCATCTAATTTAGAAACTGTATTATTAATGATCTGAAGTATCTTTTTGACAACCTAGATATATTTTGGCTTCAAGTTACAACCCTGTGTATTTTTGGTCATGTATCCCGCCCTTACCGTTTTGCTATTGTTTATTATTTTACCTTGGCCCTAAGCCTGAGCAGTCAAGGTTCATTTGGGCAGCGACAGAAACACTATCCACAAACATCAGGCTCCCCTCCCAACAAACACGGTGTATTTGCAGCAGAGGTTGAGGAATGCCTTTGTTTGGACTTCCTCAGAGCTCGGATGGTCAAACTCAAGGAAACCAGGAGAGAGAGTCCAGCTTCCTGCAGGATGGAAATCTGAAGCTCTACGGAGTCAAACCCACATCCTCTATGTGACAATGGAGCCACTTCTGGGGATTTCAACCGGCACATTTTTATCAAGGAAATCTAATCTGTTCTTCAAAAAGGCTTAAATATTATGTTGATGTTTTGAAATAAGTGAAAGTTTGTTTTATGTAGTCAACTCTTGTTTCTCTCATTTCCGTTTTAAAAGTTCAAATCAGGTAGACAACTTCACAAGAAATCCACAAAATACCCACCAAATACTAGTCCATGGGTCAGAATGATGAAAAGTTAGGGCTGTTGTCATAGCAATTAACAATCCAAAACAAAATATTATAGCAAAATCGTACCATATAAGAAGAAGAAACCCACAAACGGATACCAAAAAAGTACTGAAGCTATACAGTATATTAATTTTAACAAGTATCAATACTAAAAGAAATGATACATACATTGACCTATATTGGAACTTATCAGAAATTATAAGACACGTGTCAAAAAATGTGTTAAAAAAACATTAAATTGTTTGAAAAAAGGTTTTTATTATCACTGTGGTATTAAAAGTATATCAAGTCCTTTCCTTAGTATAGAAATCAAGGTTAATAGATTTTTTATTACTTATTTTTTAAATTTTAACATTTATATAATTATGCCTTATTTGACACCAGTCTCTTGTCTCTTATCTTTATTGCAACTTAGTTAGAATTTATTATTACTATTTATATTTTTTATTCTTTGTTATTATAATATATTGTGATGTGTGAGCTACTGTGTTTAAATAATTTCCCTTGTGGATCAATAAAGTTTGTCTAAATTTAAGGTTGAAATTTGGATTGATTTTAGAAATAGTATTGAAACTGGATATTCCTGACTCTGACCAGGGACTTATTATTATAAATAGTAGGACCAGATTGTGAAACTGAAGAAAATATTATTAAATATTATTTTAGTGAAAATCCTATACAGCTGTGTTTCTCAAACTGTGGTAAATATACACGATTAAAGTTTTTGTCTTTGTGTTATTCATTATTTAGAACTTCCTTAAGCATGTTGGGCTAATATTAGACTTGATTTAGCCCTAATTTAGACAGGTTTAGATTTGATTGTACTCTGAAAGCATAAAACACAAATTTGATTATTATTAGAACTACTTTGCAATTAGTATCTTCACTTTAAAGGTCCTATATTATGCAGAATTGACACTTGTTAGATTTATGCCATGTTATAATGTGGTCTTCTCCTCAAAAACATATCTGGAGTTGTGTTTTGTTTCATTCACACATGTTTGTAACCCTTTATTATTTGTCTGTCTGCATCCCCAAAGCTCAAAATGCTCTGTTCCACCTTGTAATGTCACATAATTGTAGTTTTTAATTCACCAACTACTTTTTACCTTTTGTTCAGTAGAGATTGACAATTCCTGGGCTGAAATCATCCAAATATTTCTACTGAAAGTGTGTGGAATGAGAGAACACAGAGAGAAGAAGCCTATATATGCAGGATTTGTGCGTTAAACATGCGTGAAATGAAACAATATACAACTCCAAGTATGTTTATGATGAGGAAACAACATTATAACATACTGTAGATCAGAAAACAGCGCAATACTAGCTGTTTATTTGCAGTTAAAATGTGAAATAAAAACCAATAATCCTGACTAAATCTTATATAAACTCCCTTTGACCCCTAAAACTATCACATATCTTGGCGGTTTCCATGGGCAGGGGCTAAAACAAAGGCCAGAGCTCCTTGAGAACTCCATTCATTTAGTGGAGCAGGAAATACCGACATTACAGCAAACAATAGTCTATTTAACCACCATTGTCAAACTGTCTTTTCACATTTAAAATCTGTTGAAATACTCCAACCACAACATCTATTGAGACACAATCAAATGTTCTTCTTATTGATTTGATTTGGAGCCAGAAATCTTACAGTCATTGTGCTATTCAAATTATTCTTTTGTAATTATTTTATAAAGAACAGACTGAGAAAGTTTTGTAAAGTGTGCAATAATTCAGCAAACATATGGACTAAACTTCAACAAACCAAGTCAAAACCAAAACTATAAGGAAAATCAGAATAAAGAAACCAAAATACGTGCTAAAACAGGTCTAAACCAGGATTGAACCAGCATTAAACCAAACAGGGATTAAATTTAACACAAACCAGGACTGGACTAGGACTAAAAATGGACTAAAACAGGTCTAAGCGAAATCAGAAGTAGCTCAATTTATGGAGTAAACAATGTCATGTATAATAATAATAATAATAGCCCTGATTGCCATGCGGTCACGTCACGTTATAAACCATAAAATTTGTTGTGGAATTAAAAATAAAATAGTTTAAGTGATGCTGTAGTAACAATATCTAATATCTATCAATAGAAACGAATCTCAATTTATATTTTCAAACATTTGCAAACTCACCGGACTGAAATCCCCACGCCAAAAGCAAGAAACCAAAAACCAACTCGGTCATTTTTCCGCAGTGATGAAATAAACTTGTGCAAACTGACAGTCTAATCTAGTTACAAATAAAACAAAACGCTTTCAATGTCTCTGAAAGATGTATTGATATCCACACAGCTGTCTATAAAACAAAAAAGAGTCATCATTAAAGCTAAAGTGAAGCCTAAACTTTAGTAAAACTCCAGAGTGAAGTGAGTGTCCGCCCGGTTCATACTGCCCCGCGACACGAGCGCACAGGTGGCGCACGGGCCAGACACTTCCTCTTAACTTGCCTTTCAAAATAAAAGTGCTTAGTTTGAGTAACATTGTTCTAACAGTTAGATTTATTAGTTATTAGTTATTATTTTAGTTAGAATCTAACTAAAATAATTAATAAAAAATATATATATACTGTGCCCTGGTGCTGTCCGATGCGTGGCTATTTCTAGTTCAGAGGTGTTTTTGACGAGAGGCTGTTGTTTAATGTTTACAACCAGTGGCAGGACTTATTGTTTTTTAATAAACCCCAACCTTTTATTATTGTCTTGTGTGCCTATCGTCTACCACACAGCCTCAACAACTATTGCAGCTAATAATAATAATAATAATTTAATATAATAATGATTATAATAACAACACATAATTAGCCTAATACTGTTAAAGAAAAACGTGTTTGATAGCATTTTTGCTGTGTATGACTCCATCGCGTTAAAATATTTCTCAAATGGCAGTGCGCCCCCTGCTGGTGACCCATGCCCCTCCAGTAGATGTGCTCTGACGCCGACTCTGACAATTAAGAATGCGAACATACACGCTGAGCGAATTTTGGAATGAATGAGCTATAGTTTGCAGTTTAATCGAGGCTCCTTAGTTTGTTTGCTGTATGATTGTTCTAAAATCTAAAATCAATCGGCGGATGGCGGCGGGTGCGGTTTTGAAAACCTTCGGTGCAAAATGGACAGCGGGCGGATGATGAGTTTTGTGTCGCGGTTGCGGATGAAAAAATAGCCCATCCGCGCATCTCTACTACATAGGTCTCCATAAAACAGTTGATAGTCATGGTCAGTTTTGTGTGTGTGTGTGTAAAGTATCTTTGGGGGCAGAAAATGTCTGTGAAAAGCGCTATATAAATAAAAACTTACTTACAAAAACATACATCCTTACTCAGAGTGGGCTTGCATCTCCACAAACCTGACACAACTTTGGCCTCCTCTTGCATGTTTCCTTTAAAATTGTGTTCCTTTTGCTATAATATTCCACAGAATGGCCTAAAAAAATACAATCTGTCACCATGGATAATGTTCCGAAGTATGGTTTTAACTTTCTAATTCCATGGAATCATTCAGTTCACTTACCACACCCGGAATGTTACATACTATCACTTTAATTGTTGAGTAATTTGACATCACGTTGGATTGGAAGGGGAAGAATACATATTGTGCTTTTAGTGTGAAACTGTAACACATGTAGACCATAATTTTTTTCATTGTTGCTCAGAATATTAATGTAAAACAGCTTAACAGCATAAGGTCAACTGACTTCCTGTTGAATATTTCAGAGTTAATGCCTCTTTTGGCATTTCACTGTAGCAGGCAGCTGATTTTATTATAGAAAAATGAGAACTTAAACCTCAAAAGTAGGGCAATATAGAACATCTCAAACATGTATGAAACAGTGTAACTATAAATTGAGTAAGCTAATGCATAAAGCATAAAGGATAAAGCACTGTTATAATTAGTAAAAGATGATTTTACATAGTATTTCCTATTTAACCTGATGACACAGTTTTGTCTGTGGGCCTAAATCAGTTGTAAAAAGGGAGCAATTAATGATTAAAGGGCCCATATTGCACTATTTTACTTTTGTGTAGTTGTGTTTTGTTTCATTCACACATGTTTAACATATAAAACCTGAAAATTTAGGTAATTTAGGTAGGGGCCATTAGCTGAAAACACTCTGTTCCACCTTGTGATGTCATGTGGTAATGCAGGAAGTACACCACTGTGTTTTTAAACTCCATACACCTTCACTAGAATCATTTAGATAATTTCAGACCTACAATTGCCACTTTCTACTGAACAAAAGGTAAAAGGCAGCTGCTGAATTGAAAACTACCATTATGTGACATCACAAGGTGGAATGAGCATTTTGAGCTTTGGAGATGCAGACAGACTAATAAGAAAGTTTTGATGAAACAAAACACAATTCAAAGTATGTTTTTAAGGAGATGACAACATTATAACATGGCATAAATAGATCTGATGTTACTCTGAAAGCATAAAACATACATTTTAGGATCATTAGAACTACTTTGCTTTCCTTTAAAGTGAAGATATTAATTGCAAAGTAGTTCTAATGATACTAAAATGTATGCTTTATGCTTTCAGAGTACCATCAGATCTAAATTTCTGGTCAAAATTAGACCTAAATCAAGGCTAAAATGAGACTAAATCATGCTTAAGGAAGTTCCAAATGATGAGTAACACAAAGACAAAAACTTTAATAGTAGCGTCATACAGGAAGTGCTCCACTGTGCTTTACATCCCCATATACTGTACCATCGGTAGAATCATTGGGATCATTTCAGCCCTAGAATTGCCAATCTCCACTTAACAAAATCTAAAAGATAGCTATTAACTTAAAATCTAACGCTTCAGAGCATTTTGAGATTTGGAGATGTAGACAGTCTAACAATAAAGTGTTACTCAAACATGTGTAAAATGAAACAAAACACAATTCCAGATATGTTTTGGATGAGGAAATGGCATTATAACACAACTTAAAGTTCACAAGAGTCAAATTTGTGTAATATAGGACTTTTAAAGAAACACAAAAAACGTCAAACATCAAAATCCCAACCTACTGAATCCAAAATATCTTACATATATAACAGAAGTGTCTCATGCCCATTCCCATGAAGCAGGAAGTCAAAGTTTCCCCTGCTCCTATGGACAATGGGAGGAAATTATGTAGCCGTCATGTACATTAGGGCAATTAGTAAACCAGCTGGACTCCTTGTTTAATAGTTCAGACTTTTACCATCCATAAAAAGAGAGTCAATCATTCTAAATCTAAAGATGTCTCCCTCTTCAGAGAAAACCAGGCCGACCCACAGCTAAGTGAACTATACTGCCAGTTCATTCGCTCCAAAGGGAAGCATAAATTAACTATTGTTTATTGAACTGAGCTTTGTGGCACTCCGAAAGACCCTGGGCTAAGTGATGGAAGTTTTTATTGATCCAGCAACCCGGTGTTGATGGCCCCAGCATCGGGCAGCATTCAAACCCCAACAAAAGGTTTAGAAAGGAAGAAGGATGAGACTGGGCCAAACACAAGCTCTGGGAATGTCGCGGAGAAGAGAGGAGAGACGGAAAGGTCAGGGGAAGTGTTGGAGTGGAGTTGCGGAGGAGGGCGGAGGAGTGGATGGATGGATGGAGGAAAAAAGAGAGGGAGAAAAGAAAGAATGTGTCAGCGTCAGTGAGGAATGGGATAAAAAGTGACTTGGAGTAAATTTGGGAGCGTTTGGGAAAGTTGTCAACAATAAGTGTCAGCGTGAATGGATCTGTGAGCGCTTTGAAGAGAGGAAGGCTGCTGCTTGGGATTCTGGACGTGTCTGAGTTTGTTTGATGCAAGCTGAGAAAATTAGGGGGAATAAAATAAAAATAAAATAAAGTAAAGTATTTTTGTTTATCAAATGTGGTACAGTTAGTGTTCGTGTCTGAAACATTACACACAGAAATGATAAAACGATGTATGATTATGACGTTATTACTTAAGTTAAACTAGGACTGTAAGTTTCCACTAAGAAAATTAATATGCACAAGTATTCACAAATGTAAGACAATCCATAAAAATATAATCTTTTCTCAGTATAGAAGAGAGCTATAAGGATGCTGTACACTTTATTTATTTCATTATTATTCTCAACCATTTGCTGTGTCTCATATGTAAATTTGGATCTTTCTGAATGTTTTTATTTTGAGATGTGTGTGACTTTATAATGCATATGCAGGAAGAATACTAAAAAATTATTCTACATGCATAACATGGGGGTGGGAATAAATAAATATAACTTCATCCCACTTCCTTCAGAGCAAAGAGACTTTAGTTTAAGTACATTTATTTAAAAAAAGTACATTAAGTAGGTTGTATACGTGATACATTCAAAGATGTATTATTATTTTGTTTAAGTCTCTCTATTTCTTTATTTCCTTTCTTGAACAAGTATGAAAAATTAGCCATACTTGAAATAACAAATCATAATCATTCTAAAATATTACCAGAAAAACTAGAATTAAACCTGATGTATATTTATATGTACTCACTCTTTTCTGAAGATTATTTAATAGTCCATAACTTCTTAACTTCTTATTACTTTGCAATGAATTTCAACTATGTCACATCAAACAAATTAAATCACTAAATCACTGATGCAATTAAAGAAAAATGTGTTAAAATTCATGATTAAATTAAATCATGAAATCATAATTTTCATTTTCCAAGTGCACTTTTGGATTAGGTTAGATAAGCAATTCTCAAATTCTCGTTTAGACTGAAATCCTTCACATTGTAGCTTTAAAATTGACAACATTTATCAGATATGTTTTATGTTACATTATATAGTAATATTAAATGATAAGTGAGCATAATAGCCACAAAATTGGACTCAACAGCAACATTTAACACATTTAAGTACATAGCAGTCATTCAAGAAAGTACTCAAGTATTTGGGAAGCTTCTACTTGCATAAGAGTAAGCGCAACTGTCAGGATGCAATATCAAATCTATAATTTTATATTGAAGGACAAGACATGAATTAATTAACATGTATTTTCAAAGAATAGACACACAAATGAGAAAAAAAACTCATCTGAAGGAGCAGTGCAAGAGACGCAAATGTTCAAATCATTTCATAATGTCAACTTGAAGCTTTTGTCATTTGTAGACTTACTCACAGTGGGAAAAGTAACCAAAACTTTTCAAGTAAGAGGACTGTTACACTGTTTAATATAATACTCAAATAGGAGTCAAAGTTTGGAGTCTAAAATCCACTCTGAGAAGTACAATTTAACTTTTTCTCAGCTATAATAACAAACCAACTCACCTTTTTTCCTGTGCGCCTTGCCTCTGTGCGCTGTCTGCTTGTCTCCTGCACCGTGATGGAGCTGATCCTTCACTTTGCTCTTCACAGCCTGGATCCTGGAGCTCCAA